GACATATCCTGCACACGGCACTCACAAGCAGCACCGCCGCTGCCGTTACTCTACGGCACACACCCACCCCCCACACGCGCACCCTCTAAACAAAGAAAGCCGAAAGCCGAAACAAAGGAACTCCCCCGCGCCCCTTCGCTTCGCGGGCAAGAATCCGCACGCGCCGTCCGCCGCGCGGAGGTCCTCGCCATCTGCGTCGTCACGTCCTCCGATGCGGTGGTGTCCTGATCACGAGCGGCACCGACAGCGGCGCGCGGGTCCGCGGAGTGCGAGCTAGTGGGGGTGGGCTCGCCGCCGGCGGTGCCGGGGACGACGCGCACGATGCACGCGAGGGCGGGGTAGTGCAGGGAGGAAGCGGGGAGCATGCTGTAGAACGGTCAGCAAGTCGTCGTGGAAAGTGGAGACGAAACGAGAAAAAAAGCAGGAACAGGGAGGCGAGATAGTGTAAATGGGGGAAGAACGAGACTAGGACCAAGGAGACCAGGACACAGGTGGGAGGGTGTCGGCGGAACCGACTAGCATACATCGCACCCATGCTGAAAAGCGGCAGGCGCTCCCCTCCTTTCCTCTGCGCCCATACCACAATACACGCGGAGCAGGGCAAGCTGGCTCCCCCGCCCAGATTCGATGAACTTCCCCACGCCCGCGCTCCCGCCGGCGCCTCCCTTGCCCAAGTCGGGACGACAACCATCGCGTGGGCAGCGGGCAACCGGGACACCGATAACAGACACACCAGCACCAGGACGGAGACAAAATCAGCATCCCACTGCACACGCACGCGTCAATCGCGCTCGTCCTCCCGGAATCCCTCCGCCGCTGACTCTGCCTCTCCATCCACATGCTCTTCTCGTCCGTCCCGGGGATCGCTTCGACCTTGAAGTTCCGCCGCACCGGGACGAGCATGATGCGCACCGCAGATGCGCGAGCCAGTCCCGAACGGTATCGTGTGGCTCGCCATGGGCGCGAGCCGCGCCGCCTCGCACTCCGCGTCCGCGGTTCATGCCACCCACCCGCTACGGAGATGGAGGTGAGCGTCTGTAGACCGCCCAAGCTGCATAGAACGCAGAAAAGAGAACAACGAATCCCGAGTTCAGAGAAATTGCCGAACGCCGAGAACAGAAGAGAGAAAGAAGAGAGAACGTAGAGAACTGAAGAAAGCTGAAGAGAGGACGCCAAAAAACTCGGGCATCAAGGCTCGACGCAGCGGCAGCGAGCTCCCTAGCAATGTGCCACGCATCTTATCCCATCCATCCGCATCCGCGACTATGGGCGGAGCGAGAATCAAGAATTAAGAGAATCGGGAAGGGCGGCGCGAGAATGACGAGAAGAAGGAAGGAAAGAGAGACGAAAAGTGGAACGCGTGTGTCGGTCGACTTCAGAAGCAGCGCAAGTCGCACCCGCAAAACGTCCCCCGCACCGCGTAGGCTGCGGCGCAATCCAGTCGTCGACAACGGTCCCAGACACCGTCCCGAAAGAAGCAAGTAAGGAAAAAGAACCCTAACGCGGGGACACAGGCAAAAGCAAAGCGCAACGAGGTGAAAACAAAGAGTAACGAGGCGAAAACAAAGAGCAAAAAACCACCCAAAACCAAAACCAAAAAAAAAAACCAAATAACACTCACTCATCCACCCTCGGCTTCGGCAGCAGCCTCTCCGCCGAAGGGCGTTTCGGCGGCATGTTCAGACTCGCCTTGGGGTGCATGCATGGCGGGGGATCTCCTCCGCCTCCGACTCGGCCTCTTCGTCCTCTTCCGGAAGGCTGTCCTCGGTGGTGGTGGTGGTGGTGGAAGGGAAGTGGAGGTGCTGGTGTGGTCCCCGACGCACATCCACCCGTCGTCGGTGCTTTCGCCCACCTGGGCAGCCGATGCCTTCTTTGCCTGCTAGTGCGCCTTCACCAGCGATGCCTTCGGCTCATCCGCGTCCGGCGCGCCGTCGAACGCGCTGGGGATGGAGGACGATTCAGTGAGAGGATCGGTGCAGCTGCGGCGGAGACGGAGGCGGATTCAGCCGCAGTGGTCGTGGCTTTTGATTTTCTTGGGCTTGACCTGCGCGGCATCCGAGCCCAATACCGGGGCGGGAGATACCGCAGCAGCCACAGCAGCAGTAACACCAGGCGCGGACTTGCGTTTGCTTTTCTTCGCCCCGGGTGCTTTAGAGCCGGAGGAGCCCGCAGACGAAGAGCCCGGCGGGAGGGTCGAGTACCTGATGGCGACTACGTCGGCGGCGGCGGCGAGGACGGTCTCAAGGGTGAGTGTGCTTTGTGCGGAGCCCATTTTGACTGTGGGTGCGATAAGAGGAGACAAAGAGAGTGGGAGCTTGGACCAGGGATAATTCTGGATTTGGGTGTGAGTCGGGACGGAGCGGGACACGTAGCATCAGACGCGTACATACGCACAAACAACGCGTAGTTTCAACCGTGGTTTCGGAGGCTCTGGTTGATCGCATGGGCTCCACTTACGCGCATAAGTCGATGAACATCCCTAAGCTTGCGATGGAGAAAAAAGAAGATGGAAGTCGCGGCATGGCCTAGCCCCGAATCGAACGGGAGTGCCTATGGCAACTTGGGAACAGGACTTTTTACTCACAGAGAACGGGTGCGGGCCACCCGCTACCAGGCCATTTCTCTCCTTCAACGGAACCTCCAATAATCAAGCCTTTTGGAGCCATGTGCTGGAGATAGTAGTTCCATATAATTACCTAACAGAAAACCAACCGACTCCTGAGTGACCAGGCCACCGTCAAGTCAATGCATCTAAATGTGCTCGGTCGACATTGGTACAGCGGCAAATTGCATAAAAGGAATGAAAAAACTTTATGCCCGCGAGAAAAACTCGAATGCGCTATCACGCCTAGCCCCGAGTCGAACGGGAGTGCCTAATACTTGCGGGTCCCCAAACCGTTAAGTATAGAAAGCAGGTGCGGACCTTCCGCTACCAGGCCATATTCATACCAGTTTGAAGCGGAGGTTGTTCAGCCCATTTGTGAGCCCACCTCAGCGATTGCAATTGACATGGAACTGAATTGAATGTCGTTCAACCATAAGTATGGGCGAAGATTCTATCAAACAAGACGTAAAAGATCGACAATAAATTGAGGGAGTATCCGATGAAGGACAAAAAGCTGAACACATCTGGATGATGGCTTGGTCCCGAATCGAACGGGGGCGCCTATTTGATACGTTGTAGAGCGCATACGGACGGAGAACAGGTGCGGACCTCCCGCTACCAAGCCATATCCGTGCCATCTTGGATCTCGTTTTGTGCGCACTTTCCGTAGAATAGGCAAGCCATCGGCGAATAATCCATTTTCTTGCCCTCAGCCCCCACGTGGGAAACAAATCCAACGTGCGGAAATTATGCAGTTGGCAGGTTGTCAGGCGACCGACAACATATAATTGGACTCCACAAAGTTGTATAGGCACGTACCTTTGAGTTCCATTCGCAGACCTCAAACAAAAAATTGACCCGTCCCTAGTTCAACACGGCCCGGTTAATGGAGGAAAAAACATCCCTGGTCTTCAAGTTCATGGCTTGGTCCCGAATCGAACGGAGACAGACCCTGCATGATTGCTAATTTCCGGTACATAGAACACAGGTGCGGCCCTCCCGCTACCAAGCCATATCCGTGCCATTTTGAACCTCGTTTTGTGCGCACTTTCCGTAGAATAGGCAAGCTATCGGGTAATAATCCATTTCCTTGCTCAGCTCGACGTGGGAAAAAAAATCTCATTATCCAACGTGCGGAAACTATGCAGTTGGCGGGTTGTCAGACAAGATACATATAACTGGACTCCACAAGTATGTATACGTACATATTTTCGAGTTCCCGATTTGCAGACCTCAAACAAACATTGAAGCGTCTCTAGTTCGACACGGCCTGGTCAATCGAGGGGCAAAAAGTCTAGTTCGGAAACTCATGGCTTGGTCCCGAATCGAACGGAGACAGACCCTGCGTGACTGCAAGGAATTGATCCATAGAACACAGGTGCGGACCTCCCGCTACCAAGCCATATCCATCCCATTTTGAACCTGATTTCGTGCAGACTTTCTCAAGTCCATTTCCTTCTCATCAACCCAACCTGTGTTGAAATAATTAATCCCATGAGGATATTGGGAACGTTCCCGCGCTCTTTGCTTGAACCAAGCTATCAAAGGCTAAACGACGTATATAGAGTATATATATCTCGGGCTCAGGATTTGTGGCAGAGTCCGTAGACAACAGAACAAGACATTGACGTGTCTCTACTTGGGTCAACACGGCTTGCTCCCGAATTGAGCGGGAGTCCCTACTTGCAATAGAAACATTTCTGCACAAGAAACAGGTGCGGACCTCCCACCCCCAAGCCACATCCAAACCATGTCATTCACGCCATTTGGCACCCGCCTCCTTGGTCAACCAAACTGAATCAACTCCTGTTGCATATGGGAGTGGTCAAAGGTGATTCCTACCGGGCATGCATGCCTGGATTCGCATTCACAATTGATTAAGAAAGTGGTTGCATATATCATGATTATTAACTTAGAGTAAAGACACCACAAAATGGATGATGAAAAAAGAACTAATAGCGAAGGCATACATGCCTTTGTCCCGAATCGAATGGAGACTCCTGCGTGATGGATAGGAAAGGGAAGCCACAGAACACAGGTGCGACCCTGCTACTACCGAGCCATGTTCAGGTGAGTTTGAGCCTTATTTTGTGCAGACCGTAGTGAAGCCATCGGCTAAAGCTAGCCACTTTGAATTGTGCCACAGCCATCTGATTATTCCATGCCACTGGATGACTGCAAGCCATTAGGGGTGTTCAATTCCACAGGACAGTTGAGTCTACTGGTACATACAGTCCTACGGTATAGAAAGGTTTTATAATTATCTTGTGACCCATTGTGGACGACCCCATTGATCCCCAGTGTACTAGACTGGATGTAATTGTGAATTTGAAAACAATTGTAACCAACAGAGTGTCTGCTGGTAGGAGGGACAAACGACTCCACATTGTCACATGGTTCGATGGTGTAGTTGGTTATCACGTCTGTCTCACATACCGATGTTGGTCACGTGCACAGGAGGTCTCCGGTTCGAACCCGGGTCGAACCAGTTTTTGCTCCTTCTCCCCCCCTTTTTCCCAATCCCGCACACGGTTAGCTTGCTCTGCGGCATGTGGCCGAAATCTGAATGCCTTGTGTCAAGAAAGTGGGCCGGCATTCTCCGCTTTGCAAGAAACAGGTAGAGTCTATGTACAGACACTTTGGATTTGACATCACATAGACTCTGAGCTTAGTTCATCTCAACTAGGTCTGACTTGAGGCTATTTATATGTCTTGGGATCTTTCTGCCACACCTGAAGAATCTCTGAAACAGCCTACTTCAGTCACGACTTATTTTATGCTGTGAGGTGCCACAGTGTTCTGCCTCTGATTGTGGATGGAAAAGAAGGGGTGCAGTGGCTACAACAGGGAAACGAGGGCTGGCTTGGACCAGAATAAATACAAGCTGGAGACAAAAACTTGAGAAGCTCGGGTGGGGCGAGTTAAGGCAAGGAAAAAACACTGGATGAGGATAAAATAGGCGGGGACAGGCCCGACCGGGGATCAATCCATAATTTTTGATGAGCAAGTCCTATTCTCTCGAGATCTTGTGCTCACACCGGAATGTTGAGTTCTAGACTTCCATTCTCACTCATCTGGGGGATGAATCGAGGACAGAACCACATACGTCAAGTCAATAGGAAGAGGTGCCCAGAGACAAAGACTTTTTTGCCGGTTGTGTTCTAGCAAGAAGCTTGTCTACAACTGCCCATAGCACTCACCTGATATTTAAAAAAAAATTGAAACAGTTGTCAAAATGTTTTTGAGGCCATTAGGGGGTTACATGAGCTGCATGTGGCTCCTGTGGCTTTTGGGCATCGTGCAAAGCTGCTGGGAACATTTAAATATTGCCGCAAGTAAAAGAGATCTAAACAACTTGCCTGAATGGTTATCCACATATTCTACCCATACAGCTTTTGAATCAGTAACAAATTCTGCTGATCTTTGATTGATTTGCCGGCTCAACCACAACAACACTGACCGAACAATACCGAATGAAACAACGATGGCGGAGGTCAGAATCCTCCCCAGCACTTTGAGGGTTCACCAGAATGTTCGCTACTCCTCCATATGCTCGGCAATCCCGTGCGGCTTTGGCACAAACCCTCCACTTTCAGCCATCTTCGGCAGTTTTGAATTACGACGGTGTCATACGCCTGGAACGCCGCGCAAAGAGGGCGCTGAGCGCTGAGAAATTCTTTGAAATGTGCGGTTGAACGTGGTAGAACATGGTTGAACCATCGTTTCATCAATGATTCAATGATCGGGATGCCGCCGCTCCGAGGCTGTGCACGCTTCTCTCCCGCGCGCCACTGGCTTCGATGATTCGATTCATTCTTGTGCAGGTCAGACCGAGGCCATTACTCGGGAGTCGATCCTGATTTCACGCTTTTGCAGAATCGACAAGGTAAAACCCGGTTGTCGAAGTGGTATGTCCCGTACGAGGATGACGAAAAGGTGGGCCATCTGCAAATCCCACGCACTTCGCAAGCTGAGCGCTGGGATTTAGGTCCGTTTACGCGGGGAAGTTCATCGAGTGGTGAGCTCCAGGGACCACAAATATCAGTCAAACTTCATCGAGGTTCGTGTCAAGTCTAATGTCACCCGTGCGAAGACGCTGAATGCAGCCGTGGTAGTTCCGCAACTATAAGATTGTCTATCGGCGATACGCGGGCCTCTTCTTCTGTGTTTGCGTCGATGCGAACGACAATGAGCTTGCATATCTTGAGGCCATACATTTTTTCGTCGAGGTCCTAGGTGAATGCCGTCCATGGTCCGCGTCAAAAAAAAACTGAAGAATTCTGTTCATAGACAACTTCTTTGAAAATGTAAACGAGTTGGACTTGGTGTTCAATTTCTACAAGGTCAGTGGTCACCTTCCATGACGCCAAAGATCTAACACCGGCGAAAAGGTGTACGCGGTCCTAGACGAAATATTCCTTGCCGGAGAAATTCAAGAGACCAGCAAGGATGTAGTTCTCCTGCGATTGGAAGAGCTGGAGAAACTGGAATAGAGCGACAATACTTGCGCGAGCTCTACCCGTATCAATGACACTCATCTATACTGGCCCTAGAACTGATTCATGAGCCAGCAGCACCGTAAAAGCCATCCCTCTGGAAGAACTCGCTCCGTAGCCTGTCCCCCCTGCCGAACAACTCCATATAATTTCCTCTCGTAGATCTGAGAGATCCGACTGAGTGAATGGAATACTCTTCGATGCCACTCGACCTATAGCCGTTAGCTTCAGCCATCCCCCACCCTCGTGAACGACGGCGAACTCGACCCACAACCCAATGGAAAACACGCCCAACTTTCCCGGGTCCTTCTCCATAGCTCGGATTTTTAGTTTGACCAATTGAACCGCCCGCCATGAAGGTCAATACCATCTTTCCTGGTCAACATTACGCCTGTCGTTGAAGACTCCACTTGTGATCGAAACAACAGGGGTTAAAACGTGTCTTGTCACTACTACCATGGCCTTGGAACTCGGTCACGGAGGCTCTCCATGCAACACGCTGGGCCACCGCGAACGAAAGTGGGCGCACTATCAGCCTTTCCTCGAGCGCCGGGGTTACATGTTGCGGCGGCGGTATCGAGGTGGTTGGGTCTCAGACGTGGTTGCTTTGGGGAAGGATCCATGGGAGTGTGAAGATGCTATCCCAGCGCTGGTTAGTCCTGTATCGTCCTACGACTTGGACTACCGCTCATTCGAGATTTCAGGGCTTCGATGTCCTCGACGCCACACGGATGTCGGACGGCGCGCAGGTAATTTTGAAGGTCGTCCGAACAAAGTCGACGGAGGCGGCTACTGCGATCCGACTTGCGAACGAACCCTGCGCCGGCAGATATACCGTCCCAGTTCTCGAGCTGATCCCTTTGTACGATGATCCGGAGCGGGAGCTGCTGGTTATGCCCCGCATGCGACAATGTTCTCATCCCTGGTTCGCTACTGTCCGCGAATTCACAGAGTTTGTGGTCCAAGTGCTCGAGGTGATTCTCAGTCTGGTTCTCGCGATCCCAAGGTTGAGTTCCTCCAGGGCCTCGTCTTCATGCATAGCAAGAACATCGCTCACCGGTACGGATTAAACTGCATCTTGCATGGTCAACGCGCTTAGGGTGCCTCCAGCGACATCAGTATCGCGAACATTGTCATGGACGCGTCGCGAATGATCCCCGGCGGCTTTCACTTCCTCAATCCATTGACTAGCGATGGGGTCAATTATCTGCGCGAATACGCAGGCGACGACTCCGAGCCCCACATCATCAAGTCCCGTACAGATGCTGGGCTCCCGGTACAATATTATTTTATCGACTTTGGGCTAGCCGTGCGCTTCTCCAGCTTCCAAACGCGCGGGCTCGTCACGGGAAACGTCGGCCGTCTGCGCAAGCACATTCCAGAACTCTCCGCCACAGTTCCATACGACCCGTTCATGGTCGATGTGCGTCTCGTGGGTGAAATGCTGCGCTGGAGCTTCCTTTTGGTGAAATTCAATCCTTCCATATGCTCAATTTGACTTTGACTGACCACGGCGCACAGAATTATACAGGCCTTGACTTCATTATACCCTTTGTACGAAAACTTCGCCGCGATGACCCCAGACAGCGCCCAGACGCCCCGGAAGCCTTGGCAATGTTCCAACGTCTTGTGTACGGGATGAGCGACAAACAGCTTGCACAGCCGCTAGAGGAGTGTTTCTGGGATAAAAAACGAAGAGCCGTGCTTGTCTTGAAGGGTCTCGGACGCAATTAGCAGGCGAATGTGCATGTACTCTCTGATCACGATGAAACGAGAATCACATTTGCGGCCTTTCCGACAGAGTCCTAGCCACAACCGGGATGAGCAGATGAAATAGATGGAAATACATGCAATATTCCACCCGAGTACGTGTGGAGCATTTGGAGAATCATCTGCACCAGTCTCCTTCTCGAAGTCCGCAAGTCCATTCTCACAGTTCATGAATCATGAAGCGATACCGTGGCATCGCGAAGTCCAGGACTCTCCCATGAAGTGGAGAACTCCCTGCGCCCACCAATCGTTGGTTTTCGGGCGAGCCAAGGTATCTACTACAACCTTCTTGTCGTTCCGTTCCTCCAACACGTGCACGACGGATTCAGACAGTATGTCCCTACGCCCGACATCCCAGCCAATGTACTTTAATCGCGGTGGAAGAGGTCCGAGGTCACGGAGCCGCTCTTGCGGCAGAGCCATACCACAGCGGAAGCGGAGCGCGCGCAGTGGTGCAGCGGGGCCGATGGCGGCGAGGAGGTCACGCTGTGGCAGATACAATCAGCACACCAAGACATAATGATTCAGAACAGCCTTACGAGGAGTGTGGAAGGCCAGTCCAGCGAGGGGGCCGATGAGTCATAACGGATGATTCCCAGTTCGTCGAGAGCTAGCGCGCTCTGGACGAGAGGGATGAGATGTGGAGGAAGTGGGGTTTCTGCGTCGCTCCAGACGTCTAGCTCAAGACAGCGAAGGGTACACCCCACTGCGCGTACCGCCTCCACCAGCTCCGAATCCGTGTATGCATCAATCTCGCGAAGACGGAGATGAGTAATTTGGGAATCTAGTAGTGTTGGGTAGTGGTACCATGACCCTTCGTCGATGTTTAGGGCCCTGAGCATTCCCGGGTGGATGTGAGTATTGAACGGCTGCTCAGTTTCGAGGAAGAGGCTTTCGATTGCCGGGTGGCGCACCAAGAAGTCGGAATCCCCACCGAGCAATGCGCAGCTGGTGAATGAGAATCGCTTGAGGTGGGGATGGGTGAAGTCAAGTGTGATCCCGCGGGGGCCACAGCAGACAGGAAAATCCAAAGCCAGTTCTTCGAGGTGACGGAGGGTCCCGAGCATCGACTGAAGATGTTCGCAATTCCATCCATGAGCGTTTGGCATTGTCAATCGAAATACTCGCAATCGGTCAAAACGAGTGCGTGTCAGAGACCGCTGATAATGCGAGTGAGTTCGTGCCAGTTAAATAGTCAGCACTCACAGAGACGCCGTGTTCT